TCACAACTACCCTAGTTGAGCCTGACAGCAGTCTGATTTCATTTGAAGCCGTGGCATTACTTGATTCCTGTCAGTTAGCAGCAGCATGTTAGTTTGAAGTTTGAAGTGTTGAGTAGTGCAGTTCCAGCTCGTCTGGGACGCGTTAGGTTGCAAAGGCCACCTTCAACTCGTCCGTGTCCAAAACCCGCATCCCACCCTAATTGGAACTCAAGGTATAAGGCATTGGCTGGAAAAGTGTTTTTTCCCGTTGTTCACTCCGTGAAAAAGATCATCGCCCTAAAATTCCACCATGATGCCATGCTGTCAAACTCTTCTGGATCGTCCTCAAAGCCAAAGCGCAAGAACTCCTGGTGGCGGCTTCGTTGAATGCGTGGCTGGCAAACCCATCCCAAAACGGCAACTTTAAGAGGGAAAGCTATGGCAGCTATGGTGTTGGTGGTCCAAGACACTCCAACCTGGCTATCGGCTATCCAGTGCATGATGTTCAAAAGTCTAGTGCAGAAAAAGAAGACGTGAGGTTTTGTAGAAGTGCCAATCGTCCAGTCCGACCACTACCTCAACTGCGAGTTGGAGGATTCACTACTGCAGAAGCTGCTGTCCCGTACAGAGATGAAGACTTTTTTGGGGGAGCTGCAGTTGAAGGTGATGTTGATTAATGTTGCCCCCAAATTCCTAGGATGCTATGACGACATGGCATTCCTCGTTGAAGCACTATTCAACCATCAAGGGATGTAGAAATCCGATGAAATCCCAATCTCCTCGGTCGAGCCATCCGCGTCCAAAGCCTTTGACACTTCTTCCGCGAGCCTTGGGAAGTTCGGTCCCAGGTGGTGATCTTGTACTGGCAGCTGGACCGCTTTCTTAGCGTTCCCGATTATGTCTAAATCATGTAATTAACGCATCATTATATCATTATACGGCTGTGAGTCAAAACCCCCGGTCCCCGGTGGATATGTGGCAGCCTTCTGTTCAATAGGGTATTGAACGGGGGTATTGAACGGGAGGTATTGAACGGGGGGATAACGGGGGGTATTGAACGGAGGGCATTTCCTAAACAAACATCCCACCGACTTTGGAGGCATAGCTGGGCAACGGAGCTGGAAAGCCCATAGTGAGGTATTGAACGGGTATTGAACGGGTATTGAACGGGGTATTGAACGAACTACCTCAAAAAACCGGTAGCCGAACCAGTCATCAAGTTCTCTGCCACGCGGGAAATCACTACGAGTACAAAGGAAAACGGCAAATACACCAGTTGGAGTCACCCAAGCTCCCAAGACCCAGGGTGCTGTGCAGGGTGCTGTCCAGACTGCGGTGGCGAAGTCTGGCAAAGGTGCTGTGCAGGGTGCTGTGCAGGGTGCTGTCCAGACTGCGGTGGCGAAGTCTGGCAAAGGTGCTGTCCAGACTGCGGTGGCGAAGTCTGGCAAAGGTGCTGTGCAGGGTGCTGTGCAGGGTGCTATCCACACTGCGGTGGCGAAGTCTGGCAAAGGTGCTGTGCAGGGTGCTGTGCAGGGTGCTGTGCAGGGTGCTGTGCAGGGTGCTGTCCAGACTGCGGTGGCGAAGTCTGGCCAAGGTGCTGTGCAGGGTGCTGTGCAAAAAGTACCTGGAATTGAAGCAGGATATTTATTGAACAAGGGTATTGAACAAGGGTATTGAACGGGGTATTGAACGGGGGGTATTGAACGATGGGGACCCTTCTGTTCAATAGGGTATTGAACGGGGTATTGAACGGGATATCCACGAGTACCTGTTCAATACCAAAACGTTTTGACTCACAGCCATACATGACATATATGATATGACCTATTCATATAATTTATATGTAAGGATATATGAGGTATATAGCTATTATATATTAAGTCATTAAGTCATGTAAATTGTGAAACGTGGAGGGGTTCTGTTTATCAGCCGACCATAGATTTGTGCATCTGAGAATCTTATCTAAACCATCTAAACCCGAGCCCATGCAGATGATCCCCACTCAGATTATTCTTTATAATTAATTAATTAATTAGTTAATTAATTAATTAATTACTTAACCTTTATCTTTATAATGCCTATATATTCCTATGAATTAATAGATGTTCATCCTGCAAACTATGGCTTAAAACTATCCACTTGTCTCATCTAAGGTCGGAGATTTGGAGATTTGGCCTGACGTGGTCCTGGGATGTCCTGGGAATGCGGGTGAACATGAGGTGTACGGCGTGTATGGATCAAGCGGGAAGAAGATACTCTTTCAACAGTCTTTCAGAGGATCAACCTCTGTATTGGAGAAGCCTTTCAGGCAGCTAGTTACATTCCGCTCCTCCTGGTTTTTAGTTTTGGACTTGACGGCTTAGGATAGAAGGTTTGGATTCGGAAGTGCGGGTCCGGGGCAAAATGCTGAGGGAACGCCTCAGATTTAGGCTTGAATCGTCCGTCTCTATACATCTCTATACCAAACAATGACGTAGACTTTTGCATCACAATCTGGTTGGTGCGGCAAAACTATACTGTCAAACCCGAACTTGCTAGCTTTCCCTTCCCTCCTTGACTCGTGTTGTCTGCTGTTGAATCTCAATCCAACCACAACCGTTGCAACATGTCGCAACCGCTGTTTCAAGTAGGTGACTGGGCCAAGGATTCCATGGACTTTCCATTGAAGCGGCTCAAAATACCTTGCAGCAGGGCCAGGGCGATGTGTACCCAGGCGTCCACCGTGGTGCTTTTGGACCTTGTCGATGGATATGAACAGAAGGGAAACCATAGCTCCCAGCAACCGCACATTTGATATCATTTGAATTGATTTGATCAGGTTTAGTGCCAACATGTTTGAAACTTAGCTGTTCTATATGTCCGGCTTCATCAATTTGCGAGGCCAGACGCTAGTCTATGAAACGCTTGTCGCAACCCGTTGATTTGTAAGGTGATTTCACCAAACCATTCACAGATGGATTGGGACGGGATAATGTGTGGTCCCAGGAGATGCCTCAAAAGTTGTGCTAGAAACTTCCAGCTTTTCCAAATCGCCTCTATATAAGTCGCCCCTGAAAAATGGGTCCACTCTCCGCGGCCAAGAGACGAGTTGAGCAAAAGTTGTAGCCCAGGTTGACGGGGTGTTTCCTGGACCAGACACCATTTGAACAAACATGGGCGAGCCTCAAACCGGCCCCAGCTTTGATGATTTTCCAAGAACATCGGGTATCCACCACTGATCTGGCATCGTTGCCATGGAAAGCTTTCTGGGTGATTGGCTTGTAGATAGGGTCCCAAAGTCAATGTTTACACCTAGAAAGACGCCAACTTCAAGACCACGAGTGCAAGTACCATCCATTTCCCAAGTGGAAACACAGCCGGAAACCATTTTAGCAGTGTGTGATTCTTTCTGAACTGACCCAGAAGGAGCTGCTTCAGTTGATTTGGGCGGAAAATGTAACATGACGTTGGACAATGCAACTCCAAACTCTTCTGATTCGAGTTGCTTAAACGGAAAATGCATCAAAGTTAGCGGTTTCATGCTACAATCCCTTGTTCAAACCATATCTTTGAAAGGAGTCGCACAAAATTCACCAAGCAAATTCTGAAAAACCCAATTGCCACATGTTACATGTTACTACCACCTATCTCAACTACATCAAATATCAAGAATCATATCAAATCTTAAATGCACTTGCGTGAAACTTTGGGGTTGTATATAAAAATCATCTTTTGGTGTCACCTAACGGTTAAAACCATGGTGTAACACCTCAGACTTTCCCATATTCTAAAAACATTCTTTGATGGCCATGACTTGGGTATGAACCAAGGCTCAAAGTCCGAAGAAGTATGATCACTTCCTGTTCCGGCCTCCGGGGCTGCTAAGTCACGGCAATATTCATAGGGAGGTACCTATTCTTAGTAGTAAATTATAACTTGTGGTATACTAGTTTAATAGAATTTAATAGTTTCATTCATGTAAGTCATCATAAATTATACTTTAAGGGTAACCCACCCAATTAGTTAGTCAGGGTTCATTCATGTCTATATATAATATTATATATACACGTATCCAGGGTTGATATCAGTGATGTTGAAGTGGTGTTGGAACACATCGATTTTCACCCTCCAACACACATCCAGTCACATCTCAGGCATCCTCCAGGCACCCACAGCTGCCGCGCCTGTCTTTCCACCTCTTGACTGCTGCAAAGCATGTCCTTTGCGCCCAGATCATCCCAGATCCAGTTTGTCACAAAAAAAAATCGGTATCTCTTGGACCGGAGCTTGTGACATTCAGATAATGCATGATTGGCATATGTTCAGATTATGTTCAGAATCTCATGGTTGGCATATGTTGGCATTGACAGATCTCAGCTCTGACAGGTCTGGTGCCGGTCCAGGCCATCAAGAAATTGAGATCTGATTGGTCTGTGATCCAACAAATAGAAATGTGGGAAAGCCAATGCCATAAACCTACCATTTGGGGATGGTTTATAGCACCCAGAAAAATGGTGATTTTGGGGATGGTTTATGGCATTCAGTTCAAATTTTCGACTATATGGATGTCGTTGAAGCAGTTGGAAGATGTTGGAAGATGTTGGAAGATGTTGGAAGGACTACCTTTCCCGCCCAGTTCCACTCATTTTGAGCGGTTTATCATGGCTTAGCTCCATGAAACAACATGAAACAACATCAAGATGGTCAAGATCGACGTCAAGTCACACAAACTGCCAAGCATCGTGGTAGTGACATTCAATCGACGATCTTCCTCAGGGCCATGTATCCCAGGTGGATGATGATGGGTCAGCTGGGCAAAAAAGATCCACGTCGAATCAACGTCAGCTGGGGGCAACCGAAACATCTGTGAACTGCGAAAATGGCTTGTTCATAGTGGGTGTCCTCACGTGAAATGAGATGAAGACACGCAGTCTGATCAAAAAGCGGAGCCAAAAATCAACATGTATCAAACTGGGAACCCAACGTTGCCCGGGAGTGTGGTCTAGGATTTTTTTATTCAAACTTCAATGTCTTCTTGAATTTCAAGACCCCATATCACAGAGTCCTCTAATGCTGCAGTCCCCCCAAACTGGCTCAAGACTCCCATTCTGCTTGGTGACCGGCTGCGTTTCCAGCTGCGAAATGATGTTTCGAAGCCAAGGCACCCGGCGCAGCTCGCAGAACTCGTTGAACAGGGGCAGAGACATAACGGAAAAGACCAGGCCACCCACTAGCAGGTACCTCTGAAAGACGGCTTCACTGGTAAACACTCTACAATCCCATGACATCCGATGACCCTAGTGCTCGGAAAGTGGAAAACCAAAGACCTCTTGCAGTCGCAGGATAAAAAAATCTTGAAAGAAATGCCAAGTGCTCTTGGATGCTCTTAGATGCTCTTAGTATGTTTGAGGTGACATGCTGACATGGAGATACGCAAACAATGCCCACATTGTGTAAACATGCTGAGTATAAAATGTTGTGGACCCCCACCAAAGTTCATTTTCGGCTGGTGAACGCCGGCATGAAGCAACGATACAAGGACAAATAATGGGATAACACCCAAGAGCCAGGAACTTGTAAGGGCTGGCTTCAAATATCCGCCAGTTGGTGTTATCGTTCCGAGTAGATTCAGATGGAAATACAGTCTTCGAAACCACCAGCCAGTAGCTGTTGCATATTTCTGGCCACGTTTTGAAGAGCTTCAGGTGAGCACTTGGGATTCGCCATGACAATCCCCAAAGCTCGGTAGTCAATCCAATTCCAGAATTCATGGCTACAGTATGGATCAATATGGTACAATGATGTACAATGTCCATCCATGTCCCCTTTTCCAAACTCTTCCAATCCAAGGCCAAAGGCCGTGCCTGGGGGAACTGTCATATCGGTCAAAGCGCCGTGCGAGAGGAGGAATGGGCGCGAAAACAATCTGTGGCGATTCTGTCTGGTGAAGTCGGGTGAAGTCTGGAACTCCAAAATGCATTAACAGTAACAAATAAGACATATTAGGGTTTCCATAAATGGGGGTACCCCCAGCCCAGTTATCATCCATTCTATTTTATGTTTGGGTTTTCCATGAAATAAACATAAATAAACCATCCAGCTATTGGGGTACCCTCATTTTAGGAACCCTCCATATAAAAGCCCACCATCTTCAACTAGCAAAAAATGGATGTCACCATTGGGAACAGGGCGCCAAGGCCGGGTCACGGTGCCAATGCACACTCCGTCCTGAAAACACTGCTGGTTGGTGCTATACCTACCCCCCTGAAAAATATGAAAGTCAGTTGGGGTTATTGTTCCCAATATATGGAAAAATAATAAATGTTAAAATGTTTGAAACCACCAACCAGATTGTGTTTTTTTTGTTTGCCATAGTGTGCCATAGTCTCATGATGTCTCGTGCCCAGGCATGTCACCATAGCACCTGCTGCTCAATCTCTTCTCCATTTCTCAGGACCTTGATCAAAGTGATCTCGCCCTTCCTCGGCTAAGCTTCGGCGCACTCGAAGCTGGCCCGGCGATGGGGCCAACTGGACCAACTCAACCAAACCATTGGACTTGAATGATTTTGAATCTTGCAACTACCGCAGATGCGGCAGATGCGATATCATGCTTGACGGTGTTATTGAAAAATATTGAAAATATGTGCGAAAACTGTATCTTGAACATGGATAGTTGTGTCCGCCGAAATGTTTGCCTGTTCTTCTTCCAGATTTCTTGTGTTTTGATGCTTTTTGCTTGGATTCCACAGAATTCAGTGGCAATGTCCGACGCAAGGCGGGTGAAAGGTTTCGGGTGACATGCGGAATGAATCCAACTTTGAGATGGACGCCCACTGTTCCCCCATGTTTGACCAACAATTTAGAGAAGTGCATGATCCTTTAGCATTTGGCGAGAATTTCTCTGCGCAGCCCTGTTCACATCAAATAACGCCATTTAGAAAATCACAATCGCAACGTTTGTGGTTACTGCGCTGGTACTGGATCAGCGACGTCGCGACGTCAGGTTGAATATGTTTTTATTGCAACAGGTGGGTACTTGCTGTCCTCAAATGATGCGAACTGACAGCGCCCTCCATGTCCAAAGCCTGAGCGGCTGCTTCTGACTGATGAGTACCTTGCAATCGAAGGATGTTTGGTGACAAAGCGGACATATAAAGAACAACCCCACATGATCCAACATGCTGGTTGCTGGTGAAAATCCATAGACTCCACACAGCGAACTACATGCATGGGCTAATGGCAACTTGGAGCAGTCATGCGGAGCAGGCTACCGTCGTTTTTTTTGAGCTTAAATCTACTTCTTAGGTCAACAAGTCGCTTAGCAGTGAGGCCGAGACCAGTGGAAATCAAGCACTGAAAATGACTGAAACATAGTTTCAGTATGGTTCAGTATGTTTCGATTGGCTTTGGAAGTGTCTAGTTGTGCAATATATAATATATAATATATATATAATTATACATATATAATCATATATAAATATATATATATATGTATTTATTTACATTATATAAGATGTTTTAATGTTTTAGATTACAATGTTTTAGATTTGTTTAAGTAGTATTCACAGTAATTATTCAGTATAACTCAGTATAACTAAGAGTATTCTGTGTCTAAGAATTTGCAACGTCATGTTTAACATAGCTCTTAACACAAGATCATATAATTTGGAGTTAATAAGAATTTGCAACGTCATGATTAACATAGATCTTAACATAAGATCATATAGTTTGGAGTTAATAAGAATTTGCAACGTCATGTTTAACATAGCTCTTAACATAAGATCATATAATTTGGAATCAATAAGAATTTTCAACGTCATGTTTAACATAGATCTTAACATAAGATCATATAATTTGGAGTTAATAAGAATTTGCAACGTCATTTGCAACATAGTGCTTAACATAAGTTATGTTCTATACGTCATCTTGGCACAGAAAGGCCTTTTAAAGAGGCTAGGATCGTAAATAATTTATATATATATGTATAATTATATATATATATGGAGGCTGTCGATGGTGCCTGATCCCTAACCGCACCAGGGAGCCAGGATGATACCGAGATGCCCCGTAATCGAGATCCACTTTCTGTTCACCCAGCTGCAAAGGCACCTGAAAGCCGTGGACCCATTGGGCGGATCAGGGTGGATTGCTGATGGCCGATGGGCTAAACGGCTGATAGGGTCGAGCAGCTGTGTGCTCGTTACTCACTGCCAGACCGTCAACCTCAACCTCATGGCACGGGGAAAAGAGGTCAAAAAGGCCTGAACCAAATTTCTGAGCCTTAAAACTCTCTGTCTCTTCATTAAAATGAATCATCCTCAAATTTGGGGCACACTCTAAGGTTGAGTTTGAACAGTGTTGAACTGTCCGAATATTAAGGAGACGTTCACTCACAGGTTCCACCATGTCTCTTTCCATGTCACGATTTAGTGATTTGCTCAGGCCAAGAAGATGCGCTCTACAAGGAAAGCCATGGGACAACTAGTAGCTAGTCGTGAATACCGAAACGAAACGTTGAAGTTGACCAACTAGACTCACTAGACCCGTGGAACTCGTTGGTCACTCACGCAATGCAAAGGGCTTCAGTTCCCAGATCAAAACTCTGGTACCCATGAATCTTTACTATGGAAATGTACCAAACATTCGTTCATCATTTGGAGCTATCCCAAATCCAACCGTTTGGCATTATCTTTCCCATCGCAAAAAAAAACAAGGCCCATCCGAACTATTTTGGACCAAACCATTGGGGGCCGGAAAACATGTGTGGACCCCAAAACCATTGGTTTCCCCATGCAAAAGGACATTTCAAAACTGTCCGTCATTCCACTCTACTGATCATAGTGATCACTAATTGGTTAATAACTGGATTCCCAGTTCATGGATATTCATGGATTATAAAAATTAGAAAATCAGAAAAATCCCAAGCATCAATCAAATCTCATCAACACCGACACCATTTTCCAACCAGCGGATTTTCCCAGCTGCCAAGATGTCACCCGAGTGAATCTTCCCTTGCGCCGCGCCCAAAGGTGCCACAGAGACGACACGGACGCCTCCCGAGGCTTTGTGACAACTTGGGCGATAACATTTTGTTAAAAAAAAAAAAACTAACATGTTGCAGTTGACTGTTCTAACATGTTCGTTACTATGTTCTAATAGTCTTGGAACATCTTGCAATACATGTTGTAATATGGTGTAATATATTGTAACACATGTTAGTTTCATTTATTATTTTCAAGTCAGAATTGAATGCAATACATGAGTATCTTGAGTCCTGAAGCTACTTCGATTGGTTTTGTGGCGCCTTGGCAAATGAAAACCTTCAGATCGCTGACCAACCAATGCGTAGTTTGTGGGCAGATCTGACACAAAGGATCCCGGCAAAAACAAAATGTTTCCAAAATGGGTTTTTATGGTATTTTAAACCCACCAAACAGTTGCCACTACCACTGCCAGTACCTTCCCGGTTATGTACTGTACTACTGTACAGTACCTCTTGGTTGTTTGTCAGGCTGTTTGCTGACTCGCAACCCTGAAACTTCACCTGGGTTTTTGGAGCACCACTCTGGTTGCAACACTCCCCGCATACCGGACCCCAACGACCCCACTTTAACATGCACCAACAAACCACAGCACGATGAAAACCGAACCGCGCATGCCCCTACTACTCTTGTTCTTCATCATTGTGCACGACCGTATCGTGGGCCAGATATGCTTTTTTGGAAAAAAGACGATTCCTGTTCTGACCGCATGCATGGAAACATGGTCAGATAGATAGTTGTGACATGATGCTTTCTGTCATGGCATGTGATGGCGAACAGCTCAACCAGAGCCCAGATGTTCATTCATGATTGTCGGGATCATGCAGTATGAACATGCCCAGAAGAGCCATTCTATGGCCATACCACCACATCCCACCGCTAGGTTCACCTGTTCGCTGACCCATCCGCAGGAATTCCCGCATGGCATCCTGGGACAGGTGCGCTGGAATGGACGGTCCACGCAACATCCTTATCCAAAACACAGCTGCAGTGAATCCTCTACGTCCCTGGAGTGTCACCAGCGGCGTTGCATCGGGTCGGGGGACTCTACTGGAAATCAAATCTCAATGGGCATCTGAAAGGTGTTAGAACTCAACTAGGATGGCTTTGGGGCCCAAATTTGTGACCATCTGCACGCTCCAGTGTGGCACTGGATGACCATGAGACCAGTCCCAGCCAAGCGTCGTTTTCAAGAGGTATGGTTTCCAAACCAGTTTCACAAATACCACTCCAAGAACCCTGGCTCAGGTACTCCTTCAGGAAGACCATGGCAATCTGCGCGGCAAAAAGGGCGGCCACTGAAATTTGGTTCGGGTTCCCTCCCTCTCCGCCCAGCCTTGGTGGGAATGATATATCCTGGGGGCACCATGCTGTCAGACTGAAGAAGAACTTGTTAGGTACAGATTTCATGGAGTTTACATGAAATGCACCAAGACTGTATCTTGATGGAGCTATTGATACTGATATGCCACTGGATAGGCATTTACAATTCAACCTTGGAAAATTAAGGTATTTTACCTGAAGATTGCTCAGGTTGCTCATCGCTGATATTAATGTTGGAAACCCAAGAGGTTCCACTGAAACCTATGATGCAGAACTTTGTTGACTACACAAAGGGAATGTCAGAATGTTTGTAACACCAGCTTCTGTTGACAGTACATGACAAAAACGGGTTCAAACAAACAATCTGAAGGACAGATTTTGTGTTCCTGTCGGACAAGAACACGCATCTTTAGAGTAGTCATATGTGAGAATATCATGGACTGAATTGAGATCGGGAAAATAATTTGACACATACCAAGAGTCCCACATTCTGTGCTTTGGGTAACCCTGAAGATGCAACACCAATCCTCAGCGCGTGCACACGGCGCATGACGATATTTGATCAATAAAAGGAATTTTCTGAGGATGGAAAAGATTGTTCGGTTTTGTTCGCTTTCATCTTTTTGTGGGGGTGGGGCTGATGTGAGTTCAATGAAACTGCAAACGTAACTGGTTTCCAATACTTGTGTTTCTATTTATATACACACCAAAATGTAAGATGGCATTGCCAAGAACTTGGGAATCGGTTTGTGCCAACGGTGCCCTCGACAGTTGACAATCGCTGGGGCCACGAAACAGCATGCAAACATGTCTGAAACCACGACAATATACAGTAAACCCAGTAGACGCAGCAAGTTGTCAGAATTGCCTTGGCGAACTAAAATCATGAAACAACGAATCGACGTTTTTCGTAACTGGTCATCCAGAAAATCCATCAAGCGTCACGTTGTTCGTGATATCAAACGTTGGACCTCCAGAATTTCCAGGGTTGATGGCCGCATCGATCTGGATGATGGGCAAGCGCCCGGGACTGTTCCTTACAACCACGTGCGGGGCACCCCATGATGATTTGGGGGGAAATTGGCCTGGAAGCGGCTAGATCCTGAAATTATTTGTCTCGGTTTCTATAACCTTAACACGCTTTGCATCATGTATTTATTAATTTGGCAATAGTATATATATATATATATACTCATTAAGCAATGAATATCATGAAATAATCGTGCATATGTTGGTAAACTAACAAATTTAAAAATGCAATAGTTTTCATAAACACGAATGTTGCAACAGGTAGTGTCAGAAACTCATATATACATAAATGATTATACCTGCTTCAACATATAAAACAATGCAGTATATAAAAAGAATATGGCATATATATTCGGAAAATAAACTGTATATAATTTCACACCACAATATATAAAAGTGCCATAGTATACAAAGAACTAGTGTAAAATTAGGATGCAAATTAAGAAACAAGTATTCTAAAGGTTTCACTGTATAGCGAATATTAAAACTTGTGTTCATATTGAGAAAAAAAAAGTAAAAATTCAGAAGCACATGTTCTTGGAAAAAAGTAGGTATGATATTTACTCTGAAAGTATCACAGCATACTCTACAATAATGTCAAAGTATATAATCCCTCCAAGTCAATGACCTCGTCGAACTTGATCGCTCAGTGTCGGAGATTATGACCTCTGTTTGACATATTGTAACCCGGTTTTGCTTGACCCATCTTGCCCATGTGGTGGAGCGCTGATTCACACCGCTGCTTTGAAGGATTTTGATGGCTCCAAGTTAGATGTCATCCAGGCTCCTCGTCCATTTTTAGAACATGCTTTCACAAGATTGTGAAGATGATGGAACGCATGTAACTTACAGATAAGCTACAACCATCATCATGGGTTACTGTAAACATGCTCTCATAGCCGTGAACCGCATTGAAACCCAATGAAGGCCATACCAGCTCCCAACATGCCACTATAGTACATTTCCTCCTTTGCCTGCTACAACGTGTGGCATCCACGAAAAGCCACTCCCCCATTTTCCCACGGCTACCGCGTCTGCTTCAGTCTTCCCTGGCAACCACGTGGATGGGAATTTGGAACAATAAAATCCCAATATGCAGCAGGGTTGACCTTTCAAAATAATATGAGAATGATCCTACTTACGTTAACTCTGGGACTTGGGATCTATATATATAAGTCTGCAAAATTACCACACCTACAGTGCACAACACAAGGCTCAGCAACATATCGCGCTCAGGTTGGCTGACTGTGTGATCTCACCAAGTTTGTCTGAAAAGCAAAATCAAAAGACAATTACATTTTCAAGTCCACGATTGAACACAAATGTGCCACCTACAGTGCACAACACAAGGCTCAGCAACATATCGCGCTCAGGTTGGCTGACTGTATGATCTCACCAGGTTTGTCTGAAAAGCAAACTCAAAAGACAATTGCATTTTCAAGTCCACTGTTGAACACAAATGTGCCACCTACAGTGCACAACACAAGGCTCAGCAACATATCGCGCTCAGGTTGGCTGACTGTGTGATCTCACCAAGTTTGTCTGAAAAGCAAAATCAAAAGACAATTACATTTTCAAGTCCACTGTTGAACACAAATGTGCCACCTACAGTGCACAACACAAGGTTCAGCAACATATCGCGCTCAGGTTGGCTGACTGTATGATCTCACCAGGTTTGTCTGAAAAGCAAAATCAAAAGACAATTGCATTTTCAAGTCCACTGTTGAACACAAATGTGCCACCTACAGTGCACAACACAAGGCTCAGCAACATATCGCGCTCAGGTTGGCTGACTGTATGATTTCACCAGGTTTGTCTGAAAAGCAAAATCAAAAGACAATCGCATTTTCAAGTCCTTGGGCTCAAAAACATCCCGCGTTCATGTGCTGAGACAGCTGCGGGCTCTGTTTACTCAAGTTGCTAGCTGGCAGGTACTCAAAGTTGCCCGCTGGCAGGTCACGCCGCAAAGGCTTCAGCCAAACAACGGCACATTTCCTGTGTGTAAAAAGCGGATCTGTGCGTGTCTCGCCCCTGGATTACCAGGTGCCTATGGTTCTTGGGGCACACGCGGGCGACCCGGTGTAAATTCGGATCTGTTGTCAAGATCCGCCAAGCCTTCTTCAAAAAGAAACGTGGCTGGCTTGCGCTTCTAAGGTTGAAAGCACAGCCATGGAAAACCACAGTCTGCACAGGGAAGCCCATATTGCGAAGCTCCTCTCGGAGGAATTCCAACTCAGGGATGCCCCAGCCTTGGCAAAGGTGCGGCCATTCGAAGTACACCAGGCCTCCTTGCCGAGCAACCTGGCACATCACTTTGACTACTTTCTTCACCAGCCTGCGGCTCTGCAACCGCTGTCTTCGCAATCGCTTTCTTTGAAAACGGTTGCGCTGGTTTAGATTCTGCATTGAAGTCCATGGTGTGCATGGAGCGCTGACCCAAACCCTTCTCGGTCTCCAGCGGCGGGCGAGCTTCATGCAAGCATTGCCGGCCTTCTGCTTGTTGAAGTCAAAGAGCCGTTCTCTATGGTCAAGCGTCTGGCACGGAGACCTTGTCGTTGACACTCTGCCGTCAAGTTGCTCTCAAGGCTGCAGCAAAGTTCCCACAGGTCCTCACGCTCCTCAGCAGAAGTCTCCGAGCTTGTGGAATCCTCAAAAGAAGTCCCGGAGCTTTCGGAAGTCGGCTCAGAAATTTCAGAACCTCCCGAAATGTCGGAAGGCTCGGGGGTACCAGATGCCGGCTCAGCAGAGCTTGGCGAAGCGGTCACCGACTCAGATGTGGCACTGGTTGAAGAAGGAGAATCTGCACTTTCGCGGCTGCTGCCGGTGGACATCGCTGCGCTGCTACTATCCGACATGGCTGTCTGGAAGCAAGTTATGTGCATGTACGTTTCTCTGGGCCCTTAGCAAAACTGCCCTGCTTTGTGTGTCATATTCTGGCCGACTTAGAACCAAAACCCACCCCTCATGCTCACCCTCTGCAGACCTTAGGCAAGGAAATGGCAATGATACAATTGAGCTTCCTTCAAGGCATTCTGCTCAGACTGAAATAACATGGGAGGTGCAAAAAGATTCAAAACCCTCTGACAACAGCCTGCTGCATATATTCAATAACATAGTGCGGACAAGAAATCGCAGGCTACTTTGATAATGACTTTTATTTGAAACTCAAAGGGTCACAGAGCTCCAACTGCGTCTGAGATCTGAGCTGCACGCGGCCTGACGGGCCACGCGCGGTTGATGTTCGTAAAGGAAGGCCCGGGGTTGAGTCCCGGGAAAGTCATTCAGAACGGGATTGTTCCTTGAAGGTTCACCCTGGAAATCGGGATCCAAATTCTAATCGTATTTTCTCGAACGTTTAGATCTGGAAATCTATTCATATACTGGGGCTAGGGGGAAAAGGCATGAATAGACCTGGCTTCACTGATGGACCCGCTTACTCCCCAAATCTGGTACACCTATAGAACTGAAATGCTTTTGAACCTAATTTCAAGCAGCGTTCGCTGCAAAGATTCGATCTGGGGACTAGTCAAAGGTAAGTTTTGCAGAATCCATATAAGTATCGCGTGATGCCTGGCAAGTTTCGACCCCTCTGCGAGAGGATTCTTACAAGAAACTCGGAGATTGCCATATTTTATACACATCTCCAAGGGACATGTTCAACCCTCTCCTGCTTGCAGCTTACACCGGCAGATTGTGGCATTTGCCTGGCGTTTATGTCGCCGCCGGTCAGAGACCGTCACAACAGTTTCAATTTGATGCGAACCTGCTTGGGATCAATTCTTCTGCATATCTCTCTAGTTTGAAGATCTTTCACAGAGCTTTCAGAATGGATAAGGTCAGCAAACTCACGTTGATTGAGCCAATCGTTAGCCACCTTCGGAAAGAGGTGTATACGCCAGGCTTGGCGCAAATCATATTCGCTTTTTTTTAATTACGCACTATCTCGATTGGCTATACCACCATCAATCAGTTCTTGATGCTTCAATAACTGAAAAATGGTGGAGCGGAGCATAGTTGGAGCGCTCCTTGTCCAAAAGTGGCTTGCGCGGGATCAGTTCCTGAGATCAACTAATGGGAAGCTTTGCAACCTTTTCAACTGTTTGCTGCCACTTGTCCAAACAATCGTTTTCGAGTTCTGTAGAACTTCCACTGAAATTTTGGGTCCCAACTGAAAATCCAGCTGCTTGGATGTCTGTGGCACGTTGGCAAGTCACGCTTATTTGCTCTTTGGGACAGGGATGTCCGAAAGTAAATCTGTTGCGATCTTCAATTACCTTGTGAACATCTTTGACATGGCGAATCACGCTTGCTTCATCTGCCGCACTTCCAGCCGCGGCAGTGTCAGCGCACGCCAGCCCTACGCATGGATCATGTATAATGCCAGCTGAGAGTTCAAACCCAGGACTGCCAGGAGGGGGAGTGAACAACCGTGGACGCGAATCAGACAAAGTGGAGATATTCATAGCTTGCGTATAATGGGGGCGAAGCTGCATGGTGGAGTTGGTCAATGCTTGTTGCAAGTCCTGAATCATGGTCAGCGCTGACTTGGTTGCATTGGTAAACAGCGGGATGGGAAATCCTGGAAAACCATGGTGGGCAGGCTTTACAAAAAAGCGCATGGCCGCCCGGGGCTCAATTGAAAAACAACCTGTGCGATCGAACTTTTTTTGGTGGCTTGGGACCCAGGAAGCCGAACCTGTAGGGTATTCAAATCACATGAAAGGGGCATATTCCTATATTGCAATGCGACCAAATAAATCCAACAAGGTGACAAGTGGGATGTGCTGGACCCGCTTAGCAATTGGAAAGTATCTCTCTGCTGCTTCTAACTTTGACATCATCATGGGTGTTTCTGCCATGCCAACAATTTGGTCAGGACCTCAAAACTGATGAACCTATTTGCATGCAGATTTAATCACGAAGGCCACAAGCAACACAGTCTTGCCGGAAGAACACATGTGCTGAGCAATGAACTGTACATCAGGTTCCCCGTTTCAATCTACCTTGTTCATGAGCCAGTCAGCACTTTGTGTAACTGCAGGCCAGGCCACACATGCACATGGGTTAGTCAGAAGGAGAGACATGCAAAGGGTTGTTAGGGGAAAGGTCCAACAATCAAAGACGAGAAGCCACATCTTGGGGAATGGATTTTTTCTGTTGGAGGACTTGGTGAATATGGTTCAAAGATGGGGCAATCTGGGCTTCATGGTGCCCACCCGCTTCCTTCAAAGCCTCGATTGTCTCCACTTCACATTTAATCCCTGGGTTCGACCGGCCTGCTTGCAGACTCCTCTTGTTCAACTGAATTTGTCAGGTGATAGTCGCCTCGATTTTCTCCGTCTGTTGTGAATCTGTTGTTCTGGCGCCACCTTGGCATTTTCAGGTGGTGTTGCCATCAAATGTATTGACGCGAGCCCCGAAAACAAACCACAAGTGGAGAAGCAACCAATAAAGTAGAAACTGAGTTCAGTCAAAAACAATGTCAGTATCTGAGCTACCAGCTGTGCTTGAGCCTACCGGCGGAGGTTCCAGTGATGTAGCGCTGATGTGTATCGAGCATGGCCCGATGAGCTTTTGACAACATGGCGCTTTTTCCGTCAATGCAACATGACCCAGTTAAACTTGATCATTTGCAAATGACCTGGTCCAACTGGTGCTTTGGCATATATAATGTGAAATACAATAATAGTACATCCCATTAAAAGTATATAAATATATGTTATTATATGCTATGCATTGTTGTATATCAGAATATGCTACATATATTTATATATACGTATTGTCATATATTAGCGTGTACCATATTTGTCATTTATATAGTACTACATGTTGTTGTATGTTATTAGATCGTATTCTATATGATTACATATTATCATTCTATATCATTACATTCTTAAATATTATCATACATTGTCCGATACTATATGAGTATACGTTAGTGTCTGTAATCAGTTATCATGAAATAATATCATACATATATATATATGGAAACATGCCCAGTTGATTGTGATCTTTCAATTTCATGAACAGAATCTAGCAGCTTGGGACCTGCGATCTCATGGGACCCAAAAATAAATGAAATTAAGATGCAACAAAAACCCAAAACTCAAATTCCAAAGTGGAAGTTTCTTATGGTACAAACATTACATATATAGTTGTATTATATATAGATGAAATTCATTCAATATTAGCATCACCGAGGGATCCATCATGTTTTTCCCGTGGTGCCACAGCGCAGCGGCTTCAGTGCCAGCATCAGTGTGTCATGCGCCACCCCTTTGGATCGGGAGTGCACATAGATCTGCGCGTCGACACGCGGCACCACACCTGGACCAGGGAAGAAACTTCATGAAAAAAACATGTTCACAGCGAACATTTAGCTTGCTAAAAGGTCGCGCCGCCCTTGGGCAACTGGTGTTTTTTTTGTGGCACCTTTTGTTCATTGCGCCTTGTGCTCTTTTGTTCTTGCGCCATTCTCAGCGAGCGTTGCAAGCTTTGGCCAATTGTTTGAGAAAGTGCAATGGAACATTCCCATGCAAGTTAATTTAAGTTGTCTAAACATAAGTATATATGTATATATAGAATATATATATATATACATGTAGTGTGTGTATATATATATATGTGTGTGTGTACGTAAGTGAGAAATATATCTATGTGCATGAATATAAACAAGAAGATATGTCCATTTGTATGTAAATACTAGTGAAAATAATTGTATATGTATGCACATGTTTATATACATATATATGTATCTAAATGTGATTTTCATTGTGTAATATTGTGTGTATAATATATATATATATAAACCCAGAACCCCGAAGTTCACGAAGCATACATGACGTGAGCAAGTTCACAGGGACGTTAACATCCCCCCCAAACCCTAAAAAAAGCCAAAAAGGGGTTTCGTGACCAGTTGCCTGGGGGCGGCGCTGGGTGCTAAAAGGATTCCTGGATATTCCTGGTCTTTCAACACTGGAAATGTTACCCGTTTTCTCCACGTACATGGCATTTCCTATAAGAATGAGGAGAATAATATTGGGGATGGAAATGAATGGGGCAACCAAAATCTTGGTGGTACTCACTCAACCTCTTGGAGCTTGTTTAACCTGGGGCGTGCACAAGAGCAGCTGGCCGCACCAGGGCACCAGGGCTTTTTTCCCCGCCTTTACTCACACAAATTGTGCTGCCACCAGTTGGAAACCCCACCTTGGTGATAGGCGGCTGGGTCAGACTGGGCTATGACAATCAATACCACCATGAAACTTTGTACCGCAGCTCAAAAGCATCAACGAACGGCTTGGAATGGTCTCTTTTCGCCGGGTCCTCCTAAGCTGCTTACAGCATCACGCTTTTGCTACGTTTTCATCCAGGATGCCTTACTACTGTCTTATCCACTATAAATAGTATATATATATATAATACTATAATTAATAATCATCCCATATTCCAAATTCCAAATCTTTGAATGATTCCCCAAATGCGAAATATTCGGTGCGTCTCCATCATCGATGGAGCGGCGGCCAGTTCGATCGTTGTAGTTTGCCCAGATTTTCGCAACTGATGATGAACAATTCATTGGGCCCCATGTTTTGGCCGTCAACTGTTGGTGAGAAATGTCCAATATCATGGGTGAATTTTCCGATGTCGTTCAAATCTGTAAAAAAAAATCCACAATATTATCCGATGTTATTGGTGAAATGCAGAATTCATGTTGCTCACATAAACGCATCATAACTTATCCGAATCCACATCCGTATTTAATCGCATGATATTTGCGGCTTTGTGTGAAAATAGCGTCCCAAAAAATATACTCGTCTATCACTCCCCATTCCCCCACTAATTATTTGATTCCCTAAATTGGGGAGTCCATACCCCATTTGTAGTTTTCAGACACACCCACGTATATGACGGGTTGTCACACAACGTCTTTCTTCTTCTGTTTTGGTTGATAATTACTGTAGTAATTCCATGCGTGCCGCTTCTTGATTGGTCTATGGAATTGAACATTGTCTTCACGGTCTTGTTGCTTATTATATCCCATCATATCAGAATCATGTCATATCATGTTCCCATGATATCTCCATTGTTTTTCTATCCCCAAATTTGATGGTGAATCACCATTTTCCGAAACGACCATTTTGGGGTACCCCTATTTTCAGACTCATCCAATTGGATGTTCCATTATAAACCATCCAGCTATTGGGGATCCTTGATTTTAGGAGCTTGCTCCATATCTCATCTAATATCTCATCAGGTTTTCCCTATGGTTTTCCTAATGAGATATGGTTTCCCTATGGTTTCCCTATGGTTTTCCCTATGGTTTTCCCTATGGTTTTCCCATCTAATGTCCGAAAAAAAAAACGGGGCACTGCTCGAACTTCGCTGTAGAGCTCTGCGAAAGTGTCGGCGCTGAAGGTCACCGGCAGCAAGACGTTGGGATGGCACCAGAATCCTCGGTCACGACGTTGTGGGTCACCGGACGTACGTGTGGGGCAAATATATGGAGAATGGTTGATTCTAATGGTTAATATACCTGGTTTACCTGGTTTATATATTAGTGGAATAGTCAGAATAGTGGGAATATATAGATATGATTAATAATAATAACAAGGATATCCCCCATGTATAGCCCGCTAGATGCTTTGCGGCCGACTTTATAGAGAATAGCCTGGTATAAACTGGAATGGCCACATGTCTGGAGTCTATAAAGTGGAAAGCCAACATGTTTTGTCTATAAAGTCAAAAACCAACGTTTGTATAGTCGCCTGGCCGCGTAAAAACCTAAAACTCGATGCAGGTTTTTGAGGGTACTTGTGAACATGTCCCATGACTATAAAGTGAGATGCCGAACATCCAGATAGTAATACTTGTGCAGAACAGTGGCACTATAATGTGGATTTCCGGCTAAACAACGATCGTTGTAGTAGCGATGATTTTCTTAATCGCGACGATGGCAGCATCGACATGATTGTCTATAAAGTTGAGGGGCCACGTTCAAACCTTGGGGGAATATCATCGATCTCATCGATGGGGAACCCAAAAGACTTCGAATGACTTCGAAACCGAACGAAACCGACAGCCAGACAAATATCTATATCGAAGTCGTTAACAGAATCTATGGTAAAACAAAATCTATGTTGGACTGGCCACTTTATACCCCCTCCCCCAACAGAGAATGCCTCTAACACACTTTCCTTTGAAAGGGGTCCCTGGGGTGAAAGGGGTCCTGGTCGCGCCGCGCGCGCGCGCGCGCCAAAATGGCTCCAATTTTGAGACCTTTTTGGCGCGCGCGCACGCGCGCGGCGCGCCCAGGACCCCATTCACCCTGAGGAATTTTTCAAGGGAAATCTTCTTCTCTATAAAGTGGCCAGTCCAGGTAAAACCCCTGAAAAAACAGAATCTATGTTGGACTGGCCACTTTATACCCCCTCCCCCAACAGAGAATGCCTCTATAAAGTGGCCAGTCCAAGTAAAACCCCTGAAAAAACAGAATCTATGTTGGACTGGCCACTTTATACCCCCTCCCCCAACAGAGAATGCCTCTATAAAGTGGCCAGTCCAGGTAAAACCCCTGAAAAAAACAGAATCTATGTTGGACTGGCCACTTTATACCCCCTCCCCCAACAGAGAATGCCTCTATAAAGTGGCCAGTCCAGGTAAAACCCCTGAAAAAACACATTTTTACTTGGAATGGCCACTTTATACCCCCTCCCCCAACAGAGAATGCCTCTATAAAGTGGCCAGTCCAGGTAAAACCCCTGAAAAAACACATTTTTACCTGGAATGGCCACTTTATACCCCAGCCAGTGGGCTCCAGGACTTTGACCCGGAAACGGAAGGACTGACAACAAGGTAAAGGGGGAAAACTACAACGGAGAGGTACAACGGGAAGGCTACCACAAGAAAATGAGACATGTCACGTTTATATACGTTTATTGTTTTCAATGTGTCATATAGATTGGCGATGATTGGTATATTGAATATGTTGTAGATGTATTTTGGAACATATGTATACCTATGATTCACACATCATATATATATATATATATAAATCATAAACACATGCCAAACCAAAAACTTTTAGCTGAGTATTGTATTCCCAATCTGTTGGCAAATGTCCAGCCGATTCACCATGCGTGACCCAACAAGATTCAAACTATGGATTGTTTACTTTCGAAAATATTTTTTTACTGGTTCTTGCAAACAATTTTATAGAGGATGGGCATGGACCGGCCAGTTTATACCGAGGGTGGGGCTGCCAGAAATGACGTGATCAAGCCACTTTATAGAGCTGAACTTTCTTGCAAACCATTTTATAGAGGATGGGCATGTGGCCGTGGTTTTGGTCCATAGATGTCCATAGATTTTTAGGATGATTTTGGGAGATTGTCGTCATAGATATACGTAGATTCACCCACTATTTTTTTTTCAAAAGTAAACAATCCATAGTTTGAATCTTGTTGGGTCACGCATGGTGAATCGGCTGGACATTTGCCAACAGATTGGGAATACAATACTCAGCTAAAAGTTTTTGGTTTGGCATGTGTTTATGATTTATATATATTTATATTGATGTGTGAATCATAGGTATACATATGTTCCAAAATACATCTACAACATATTCAATATACCAATCATCGCCAATCTATATGACACATTGAAAACAATAAACGTATATAAACGTGACATGTCTCATTTTCTTGTGGTAGCCTTCCCGTTGTACCTCTCCGTTGTAGTTTTCCCCCTTTACCTTGTTGTCAGTCCTTCCGTTTCCGGGTCAAAGTCCTGGAGCCCACTGGCTGGGGTATAAAGTGGCCATTCCAGGTAAAAATGTGTTTTTTCAGGGGTTTTACCTGGACTGGCCACTTTATAGAGGCATTCTCTGTTGGGGGAGGGGGTATAAAGTGGCCATTCCAGGTAAAAATGTGTTTTTTCAGGGGTTTTACCTGGACTGGCCACTTTATAGAGGCATTCTCTGTTGGGGGAGGGGGTATAAAGTGGCCAGTCCAACATAGATTCTGTTTTTTCAGGGGTTTTACTTGGACTGGCCACTTTATAGAGGCATTCTCTGTTGGGGGAGGGGGTATAAAGTGGCCAGTCCAACATAGATTCTGTTTTTTCAGGGGTTTTACCTGGACTGGCCACTTTATAGAGGCATTCTCTGTTGGGGGAGGGGGTATAAAGTGGCCATTCCAAGTAAAAATGTTTTTTCAGGGGTTTTACCTGGACTGGCCACTTTATAGAGGCATTCTCTGTTGGGGGAGGGGGTATAAAGTGGCCAGTCCAACATAGATTCTTTTTTTTCAGGGGTTTTACCTGGACTGGCCACTTTATAGAGGCATTCTCTGTTGGGGGAGGGGGTATAAAGTGGCCAGTCCAACATAGATTCTGTTTTTTCAGGGTTTTACCTGGACTGGCCACTTTATAGAGGCATTCTCTGTTTGGGGAGGGGGTATAAAGTGGCCAGTCCAACATAGATTCTGTTTTTTCAGGGGTTTTACCTGGACTGGCCACTTTATAGAGAAGAAGATTTTCCTTGAAAGGGGTCCTCAGGGTGAATGGGGTCCTGGGCAGCTCTATAAAGTGATTTGGGTGATGTATCTATCTCATGACTCTATAAAATGCTCTGCCGCAATTTTCTTTCTATAAAGTGGCCTGGATGCAGCACAAATTCTTCTTCTTAAAGGGCAAGTTTCACTCTATAAAGTGCTTTGCCATGTATACAGCCCCAACAGAAAGATATTGGCCCGAAATTAGTGGGGAGACATGTTTCTATAAAGTGGATGGTGTGACATATTATGGCCATTCTTTGAAGGGAACCAACGGTCTATAAAATGCATTGCCGCATATATTGAGTCGTTTCCTTGTGGGGAACCAGCCGGGTATAACCTGGAAAGCCAACGTTGCTATAAAGTCATCTTCCAGGTCCAAGGGCATGTTTCTCGCGCAAAACACGGCTTTATCCCCCATTGTCGGTATATAAAGTGGCGACCAGAAACCCACTTTATAAGCGCAAAGGATGTCCACTTTATAGTGAGCTATACATGGGGGATACAAGGATATAAAATGATTCATGATTAATAACAATGATTAAGAAAAACAGGGGACTAGTGAAATGTCACGTGCATCTCCAGGGTCGCCAATTGGTGCAGACCTTGCGCTTGTCCGAGTTGAATGAGGTTCGTGATGAAGAATGTGCATTGACATCTTTAACAGAGACGCTGGCCATCAAAATTGATGAAACTGCTTTTCATACTGCTACCCAAAAACCCTGAAATTTGAAGGGTTGATTTTGTCGGCGATGGACAAAGGGAGGCCATGTTCACCCCAACAAATGGTCCTGTCGTTAGTCCCGATATCAACTGGATCATCTCTGAAAAAATCTCACGAGCAGGGAAAAACTTGTCAAAATCCCACAAAACGAGCGGGTCGGTGAATGAGGCTCTTGCATGCGACTGATGATATTTGATGATCAATTCCGGAATCCAAAACTGGTCTTTGATTGTAGGGACGCCCATGCTCAAGAGGGGTTGAGGAGCGTGAAGGAGGAATTCAAGATTCACGGGAATCATTTGGAATCATTTTACATCACTGTGTAGTTGCATATAACAAATGTAGTCATACTAACGGAATGATGATACTAGCTGAAATCATGAGTTGCAATCACATGGCATGGCGCTGCATCTAACACTACCTGATCTCACAAAGTATAATGTTATACCATGTTATATCGCAATCTTATTGCATGGCACTGCAACGTTGGCTGCAGCCGTTCCCCCTCTGCATCATTGGTTCATCGACAAGTGTCTTTCATCATCCACCCGCACCAGTGCCAGATCCACATCATGACCAATACCTCTCGCCATGCGGTAGGAAAAAGGTTGGTGTTACGACCTGATGCCTATGGTACCTACGGTAAGGCATCAATGCCTTAGGTGAAAGGGCAAATGGTAACGTCAGCCGGTTTTGTTTTTCAAGTCATCACAATACCTGGGGGTCACTGCATATTGAGTTTTAAAAAAACTGCTGTTTCTTCCAGCTATTGAAGTCAACCGGCATTTCAGCACTAAAACTTAATAATTAAATACCCTCTGATTATTCATAGATGATCTACGGAGGGTCTTCCATTATCTACAAAGGAATATTTCAATGATTGTTTATTAGCTATGGTAGCTATTAAAATGATGATCTTCCATAAATGTCCATAGCTATGTTAGATTACCAGAGGCTCATCATCTTGCTGAAGACATCTATCCAACTTCATCGAGATCCACCGTGATCCACCAAGCGACAGACCACTCGACCACGGAACTTCTTCGGCAGGTCGTGCTTCTTCACTTCAACGACCATCGCCTCAGCCGAGTCCGGGATGGGTTTCCGGGTGATTCCAAATGTACAACTCTGAGAATGGCCTATATAGATCTATAATAGATCTATAAAATATACATATATATATATATGTACATGTGAATTGCCAAGTGCTCACAAAGTCACTGCAAAGCTGTTCTCGATGATTTTCCTTGCGCACACGTGTCGTGCCTATTGGCGGCTCAAGGGCCCTTCGAGGCAAAATGGAAAATGCGGCGGATACACGCCGTCAAGATGAAAGCACAAAATGTGATGCAAAATGCATTCATGTCAATGGTAAATGCACACCGGTGGTGTGTTCTCAAATGAATTGAAAGAATGTCACCGCTTTGGCTGACACATGTCAAACTGCAATTGCATGACTACACTCGATCTTCAAACTGGCTAAGATGTCTCGCTGCTCCGTGAACGTGCTTTGGCACCAGTTCAAATTTTGGTTGAGATGACTTTCGGTCAAAAGTCAATGGAGTCTGGATGATCATTTCACCAATCAACTTGTCGCGCAATTTTCTGATGTGACGTGCTCTGGGACCATCAGTTGCCCGTGGAATCTTCACCAGCCTAGGTTTGTCAGCTGGATTCGGTGCTTCAGCGCCTGCTCTCTTGGGTACTTTCTCTACCATGTCGCATGATTCACAATTCCATTGCCACTGATGTCCATTGGTGCCTCGCCAGTTCACCATCACATGATGGCACATCACCGGATCACTTTCTGTTGCTTGAACTGACTTTGGCGTGTCACTGTCCTCGCTACTTCCCACGCTGACATCTCTTTTGGGAGGATTTGCCAGTTGCATGCCTATGCCAATCTCAACGCCACGCCGCGTGTCATTCTGCATCTCATCACCACGCCGCGTGTCATTCTGCATCTCATCACCATGGCGTCGTGATGAGTAGATCTCTTCAGGCATGTTGACATTCACAAAAGCAATGGCATTCTCAGGAGTGTCATTCGCCACAGGGACCTCCAGGTTCGATTGGATCAAGAAATACTTGAAAACCTCTTTGATCTTTTTCATGCAGTCATAAAAACCCACAAACGCAAAAATGATGATCACCAAAAACGTTGTGAGGGTCTTCCAATCTTCGTCTGCATCACGCTCGATCCTTTCCAGCTTCATGGCTTCTGCGCCACACATCTCAGCAGCAGCCACAATTGCGACAGCGCGAGTCGCTGCCTTTTTCCAATCATCACTGTGCCCAAATTTTCGATGATAGTCCAAATAGTAGTGGCGCCTGCTGCAAAACTGATTGCTTGGATTGGCTCCGTCGATTTTCTTTCCACATCCACGAAGCTTGCAAGTGCCCTCGGTTTTCTCCTCTTCTGCCATGAAAACTTGTCCATCAAACATCTCTTTCGCCAAACCTTCCATCTCCATTTGCTCTTTCTTCTTGGCATCATAGCCAATCTTCTTGTCTGCTGTGAACTCCTCATCAAAAACCAAACGATGAATGCCCCTCGCCAACAAATAAGCAAATTGTTCTCTCGCCTGAAGTTTCGTCAAGCCATCCGCCAACTGCTGCCCTGAGTTCACCCATTTCATCTTTGACAGCATGGCACGAAGACGATCACGAATGATGCTGACTTCAATCGCTGTCCTCTTGTCCGTCACTTTTGCCTGGGTCAAGCTGTTGACAGAGTCGAACAATGCCTTTGCGTCCGTCAAGACCGGGGATTCGCCCGTGTGAGAAAGCACAGCCTCATCGTCATACTTGATGGTTGGCCACAACAAAATTGCCCAGCAAATGCGTATCCACTCCAACGCATCGACTGCTGCAGCAGATGCCTGTGCCTCTGCCGAGAGAGACGACCGGCAAACACGGCCAAGCTTCTTGGATGCCCAATCGATGATCGAGAGCTTCATTGCCTTTCCTTCTGAGATCTCTGTCTGGGAAGCCAAGAAAATAAGATGTCCACCTTGGCTTGTGGAATCTGGGCGGACTGCCCATGCTGCATCTGCATATGCTCCAAACCTGAGCTCTGCCAGATCACAATGCCGGCTGATTTGCATCTTGTATTCTTTTCCCACATCTTTCAAGAACCTCAGGCCCTTGTTTGCCATAGCGAGATCCAGAACTGTCGGATTTGCAACGGCTGCTTGAAGAAGACTGCAAGTTGCCGCAATCTGGGGCAAGCACTGGTTAGCTGGCCATGCCATGGCGCCCACAATGGCGCGCAACTGCCTTTGCTCTGCCTCTGTGCAAGGGTCTGAGCTCATTGTCTTTCGATTCTTGTTGATGGTCAAGGGCTTGATTTTCTTGGTGTACTCAGCCATGGAGATCTGAACAGTTTCAAAGTCCAAACTCTGTTCGACTTCGGCACCGCAAAAGTCCAAACGGTTGCCAAAAGTCCATGCTCCAAACTTGAACCTTGATGCCAAACCGCATAGCCGATCTCGAAAAGTGCAAAAAGAACCGTCAAAATCACCTTTCAGATCCTGCATGCCATAGATGCCCTCGCCGGCGCCGATGTAATCATCGACATGCAGCCCCAAAACTCCATCGACGACCATGTCGACACCATTGTCCTGAAAAACGCAAAAGGGGTCATCACTGGCATTGGCCAACCTGGCACTCATGTAGAGGCATTTGTCCAAAGCCTGCCTGTAGAACCTGAGCTGTTGTGACATTTCGCCATCAGCAGTGTCATACCACTGACGTGGAGCACGTACATCTCCAAAGGCTGGCTTGACTGCTTTGAGCAGTTGGTGTGGCTTCAAGCCCATCAGTCGCTCCAGCCTGCGTCTCATGTCGCTGGTGGGTCTCACGTAAATTCTTGTTGATTCATCTATGCTGTTGGCCTGCATGAAAGCGCTCTTCACATCAGCGCTGAACAACTTCCAGCGCTTGTGGACCACCAGAGTGTATATCAACATGCGCCCTGTTCTGGACAAGGTCGGTGAATCCTTCTCCAGGCATTGCTCGAGCACATCACGATGCTTGAAGCCTTGGATGATCACTCTTGCATTTGCTTTCTCTCCTTCCGGTGTTTTCTTCCACCTTTGCAAAAATCTCGCTGGGACAATCTCTCCATCCCCAGCCTCGCTCTCATCCACTGCACGCCATGCGGCATTCTCAATCCACACCATCAGCGCCTTGTCTTTGGCTTCGTCAAACATCTTTCTCTCTTCAATGCTCAGCCGCTTCTCATCAAACATCAGCACCTCTTCACCCTCATAGGTCGCCATCTCTACGACCTCCACCATGCCCACAAACCATTGTTGACATCGTCGCAGCTCTTCGTCGGTCGCTTCTGGGCGTGGTGGCAATCCATCAAGCCGTCTTGCTGCATTGTACGACTTTCGGATTTCATCCATAGGAGGAGGGCTTCTGGATCTGTTGCGCCTCGTCATTTCTGGTGACTTGGTGCCAATCTGACCGTCCACCTGCATGTGTTGATCATCAGGCACAACCACATCAGATGAAGAAGCAGCTGCCTTTTCCGCGCTCTTGTTGTCAATCTCCATGTCCTGCTTGGGTTCCACCTTTGCTTCAGCTCTCTGGAGTTCAGTCTCTGCTTTGAGCTTCTCCTTTTTCGTCAGCTGTTCTTGCAACTTTTGATTGCGCTTCTTTTCCATGGCCTCTTCTTTGTCCACCTTCTTCCGCTTTGAGGGGGCTTCGCCCGGACGGGAGGAGGAAGGAACTGGTGTGAAATCCAAATCACCAGGCCCTGCGCCCTCACCATCAACAGACGTCGCCTGAAGTCCAAGTCCATCACCTCGTGCGTCAGAAGGAGGTCCACGGGGGCCCAGATCCAAAAATCGGATGGGACCACGGACAGGCCTCAGCGCTTGCACCAGTTGCTCTTGTAGTGGTTGGCGGGCTGCTGTCTGTGGCAAGCTTTCCAAGCGTGCAGCCCGTTCACTGGAAACTTCAAGCCGAACATGTTCAGGAGCGGCTCGCACCAAAGACGACCCATGCGCGAGCCAATACACTGCTGTTCGCAAGACTCCATCGTCTGCATGGCGAGGTTCAACTGCACAGACCAGAGCGGGTCCACGCCATCGTGAAGGCTCCAACTTGTCATTGCTTGTTCTCCAGTAAAAGGCATAGTCGCCAACTTGCAGCGGTGTGTGCTCTTTGCGACTTTTGGCCAAAAGGGCTCGTCGGATGGTTGCACTGTTATTGGCAGTGTAGAAAGCTCTGGCTGCCATGATGCGGTTCTCAGTGTCCTCCAGCTGTCGTGGATGACCATCAGGTCGAACTCCATGAGGCTCATCAGCAATGCCTGCCTGTGCAGGCGTGTATCCAAAAACCAAAGCAACTAGGGAAGCTCCATGCACCGAACGCAATCGATTGCGCTGCTCGCATGCCAACAAAACTGCTGCTTCGATCTCCAGGTCAGGTTTCTCTGGTTTCATCAAAACCAGCTGGTGACGTCTGACAGCATGCAGTCTCTCAACCAGGCCCAACTGATGATGCGCTTCTTTGGGGACCAAAATCAAACGAATTTGCCTCTCATCGCACCAAGCCTGGAAAAACTCAGACATATGAGCTCCTGACGAGTCAGTCTTGATGATCTTTGGATGCCCTGCCCATGACAACCACTGCTTTTTGAGCACCTTGATCTCTTCTTCCATGCTTTCGCTCTGGATGATAGAGTTCACCTCAAAACGAGTGTAGGCATCAATCACCGCCAGGATCTTGTGCTTTGTGTCTCCCCAGCGAATGTGGAAAGTGTCCATCTCAATCATCTCATTGAAGTAGGAAGCCTTGCTCAAAGCAGCCGGCTTTTCCAAAGACTTGAAGCGATGTGCCTCACAAACGTCACATCGATATTGAGCTGCTTGTGCCACCACTGTCTCATCTATGTTGGCATCTCTGAGTGCCTTCACCAGCTTGGCATTGTTTGGATGACCAAGCTGTCGATGAAGTTTGCTCACAACTCGTTTTGCTGATGCTGTGTTGCTCTTGGCTGTGTGCCAATCATCCTTCTTTGCCTCATTGGTGTCCAACTCTTCCATCTCTTCGGCCACCATGATCTGCACCACCTCGCGCTTTCGCCATCGATCTTCCATATCTGCATAGATCGCAGTTGCTGCTCGCTTGACAAAACCCTTTTCATAGTTTTGCATCTCTTTCAACGCACCTGACTTTCCAATCATTTGCACATGTTGTTGTGGAAAGCATTGACAAGGAAGATCCATGGCCATTGCAAGTCTCAAAGAAAGAGTTCTGATTCTCGTTCTTTTCCTCACCTTGCCCAGCACTTCTCCATCGCGCATGTAGACCAAGCCTGTGCGGCATCGATCCACCACTGCCTCGAAGTAACCTTTCATTGCTTCCATAGTGCTCGTTCTCCAAGACTCAGCTGGGTCAGGGTGTTCCATTGCGGCTCCAGCCTCATTCACTTTGCACTCTTCAAAACTGTCGGCCACCAAAGACAAATGGCTTTGCTCCTCCACATCTCTGACGTTCTTCAACTGCTCAGCCTCCATCTCGTTCTTCACGTTGATCCTTTGCATTGGGCTCCATTTTGTGCACGGAGGAGCCATCCATACAAAGTGCGGCTTTTCAGTTTGAAGGAGTTTCTTGAACTTCTGACGAGTTGCTTTGACACTGAAATCCCACTCAGGAAGACTGAATGTTGAGACAGTGACATCTTCGTACATCTCAGCGATGTGTGTTGCCAATTGCCCTTGATCAACATAAACTTCCCAGAAGCGCAAATCACGCTTCTTGAAAGAGTGGTTCACCAGGTCATTCACGATGTGGTAGATCTCGTTGTAGTCCACCTCCAAATCACCTGTCTCCGCCTCGTTGAAGTTCACCTTGCACTCCACGTCGATTGTAGGTTCAATGCCCCACTCCAGATGCCGCTCATCGCTTACCATCTGCACCTCTGCGTCCACTGCTTGCAAGACCTCCTCGTCGATTGAAACCATGCAATAGTTCTCCTCAGTCGTCTTGTACTCGAGCAAGTCCAGCAGGTAGTGACCTTTATGTCCACGTTCAGGTTGAAACCATGGCAAGCCCAAAACGCTGACTTGCCCCGTTCCATAGTTCTGCTTCATCTCAAGGCTCTCCAGCGTTGGACGTGCTAACAAGAAAGGTGTTTTGCCGGCTATCACAGCCGCTTGCACTCTCACCCTTTGTCCTATGATGCCATGAAGTCAACCTCATAGTGTGACCTTGCCGTGCCACCATCGCCAAAACGAAAATCTCTGGTGACTTGCTTCGTCGTCACCTCCAAGTCGATGCCCTTCTTGCTTGCTTCTTCCAACCAAACTTTCCAATTGTCTTCACCGACGATGGTTCTCGTAGCTCCAGAGTCGATGATAGCCTTTCCAACATCACCTGAAGCATAGAGGCACTCCTCGATGTTCACCACCTCCTCTTCAACCATTGCCACGCTTTCTTCCGGCACCTCCTTCACTCCACTGCTTTGAAGTCGGTACCTCTTGAAGCGTGGACCATGTGCAGCTGTAGATCCGCTCAAAGTCGATCTCATCTCGCTCGAGCCACTGACTGCGCTCGAACTGCCACTGGTTGTAGAGCTCCGTCTCAAACCCGACATAGGCCTGCGCGTCGTTGGTGTCCTTCTCATAGCATAGCTCTTGCCCTTGCCTTTGCTCTTACCACCACTCTTGCCCTTGCCCTTGCCAGTGCCTTTTCGTCCATCGCCTTTGCCTCGACTGCCCATGGCCTCCGGCGCAAGAGCAACGATGGGGTAGAAGCCTCTGCTCAGAGCAAGCTCCTTCATGCGTCTCCGTGACTCCATGTAGTTGACAAAGGCCTCCTCGGTCTGGTCGGCTGCATTTTCAAGGTCAGATGGGACCGTGTCTTCCTCCAGCTCGTCCTCGTAATAGGCCTCGTCATCATCATAGTACGCATCGTTCCAATCATAGTTCTCTTCCTCGTACTCGACAAGGACCTCTTCATCCGCCGTCTCGCCATAGAAGTTGTCATCCTTCCCAATCCGCATCAAGTCTTTCGGATTGGGCTTGTGGTCAGCCCCAAACATTCTCATCAAAGCGCTGCTCACCTTCTCATACTCTAAGTCGCCGCCACAAAGCGCTTTGATTTGGACATGCGTCCATTTCGGGATCCCTGCACGAGTCATCAAATGCCAACCCGCCAGGAGCTTGGGGATTTCAACCTTCACCTCTTTCATCTTCTTCATCATTGTAGCATGGCGGATAAGGTATCCTTGCATTTCTTCTCCTTTGTTTCTGCTGAATTCTTGAAAGAATTCTTCACACCTGTTGGGCACCTCCACCAAGTCTTCATACTGGTAGAGGGAGTCTAGAAGCTGGAACAACGGCTCAAACGGTCTCGTGGCTGTTTCGATCTTCTCTAGATCTAGTTGTTCTGTTGCCTCCCAAGCTGCATCACACAAGAGGCTAGTCGCTAGAAACGCCCCTTCGACCTCAGTCTCGCGCCCTCTTCTCTGGCATTGCTTGGAAAACAACATGAGTCTCCGTCTATAACTCCGATAGGACTTCTGAGTCAAACCCTCTGCCCGTGGAGCTGTTTTCGCCAAACCGCTGTCCAAGCCTCTGCTGAAGGCTGTGTTGCCACCACCATTGGCCTGCTCAATGGCCTCTGCAGGAGTTGGCCATGTTTGCGCACCCCTGCCACCTTCAGGTGGTCCTCCCATCTAGGTAACCCTTGAAAACAACAAAGATGCCGTTCTTAGTCACCTCGATCGTCTGATCCTTAAAGTCCGGGAGGTTGTTGGTGTAGTAGCAGGCCTCCAGGATCTTGATTGGCGCCGCTACCAATGTGAATTGCCAAGTGCTCACAAAGTCACTGCAAAGCTGTTCTCGATGATTTTCCTTGCGCACACGTGTCGTGCCTATTGGCGGCTCAAGGGCCCTTCGAGGCAAAATGGAAAATGCGGCGGATACACGCCGTCAAGATGAAAGCACAAAATGTGATGCAAAATGCATTCATGTCAATGGTAAATGCACAGTACATCAATATATATATGTGTATATATATATATATTATACATATATATATATATATTGATATATGTTGTATACTGCACGATCACTATACCTTGCAACATGTTCTAAGTGTAACTATGATATTTCCAACCTCCTCCCGGTTGTAACGTGGGAAAGATCACCTCATCGCCACTCCCAATGGGGGGCACGTTGCACTTGCAGGGGTTGGGATGTTACCCTCTGGTAAACATACAAAAAACTATGGAAAATCACCATTTTTAACGGGTAAATCAACTATTTCTATGGCCATGTTCAATAGCTATGGTAGTTTACCAGAGGGTACTGATGTTGTCCAAGGATCATCTTCGATCACGTGCGCATTTGTCATCAAAAGACGGCCATCGATCACCTCGGCGTCCAGTGCTAGACTTCTCCGGGTGCAGTTGCCCTCTGGTTATGACTAACAGTTCGCCATGGTATAGATGGCCCATAGAAATACATGGTTTACGCTGGTTTACCGATTAATAGCATGGTGATTTTCCATGGCGAACTGTTAAATAGCCAGATGGTAATTCGAAAGGGGCAAATTCCACATACTTTTTTCCGAGCAACAAAGCCCGTGCCAGTGACATTGGTCTCTCGATGGACGACCCATGGCATCAAATAGGACCTTCACGGAGCTGGAGCCGCAGAGGGGATGGAAATCCCACAGATTCCCAGGGAGGATTTTGCTGGTCCAGCTGGCAAAGTGATCACAATGACTGTCCCAAGCTTCCCGATCAAACTAAGTTTAAAGGTGCAGCAAACAAATAGTGCAACATAGTGCAACTATATGTGCAACTTGCCGACTTGCATTCCCTACAATTTTGCGAACAACATGTCTGTTCGAAGCATCAACTTATAGAAGCATCTCACCCCATGGATTTTCCATGATTTTCCCAATCTGTTCGACGTAGCTGAATCATTAAGAACGTGGCTTTATCGTGGTTTGGCATGAGTTGACATGTCCTCACCCAAAAAATCCCACGAATGGTGTCCAAACCGTTTCTCGGGCCTTGCAGCTTTGGTCACAAAGAATTTCACCACAGATTGGCTCGGCAAAGAGGAGGACAACTTCTCCTCAGGACACAGAAGATTGTCTGCACAAAGGACACAGCAGATTATAATATACATGTTATATCGTATACTATAAATATGTATTATAGAAAATTGTATATACAGTGTGCCCATAATGTAGTTTGACTCTTAAATCTGGGGACAGGGATACCGTGCACGCTGTATCGACGCATTCAGCATGGGAGTTGGCTTCATGTGTCAATTTTGGGATTCGCTCTTGCCATTTCTGATCATTGTCTATGACATTCTATGACATTCTATGACAGTCTATGACAGTCTATGACAGTCTATGACATTCTATGACAGTCTATGACAGTCTGACTACCCTTGATATATCTTAAGATCTACCGTAATTAGATAGGAACCCCCTGTCTGACCGAAAGCTTTGCCCCCAAAAAAAGCGGTCCGTTCGTGCGAAGGCATTGGGTGGGAGCTCCACATCCTCCACAGCCATCCATCAGCCACTCAAATGGCGAAGGCCAAAGGTGGGCCCATGGCCGAGCTCAAACTCCAACAACTGGGCAGTATCTGGGCAGTATCTGGGGCAATTGAGAGTCCCAAAATTTGCTGGAATCGCTCGTTTTTGTTAGTCCTTTAGTTGCTTCAGTTACACTGTCAGTGATCCGATCAAAACTCAAACATAAGAAGGCTAAGAAGGGGGTCTGTAAGGTCTTTTGCTGGAGTTGTCCCTTTGTCTTCGACATGCTTTTTGTTTGATGTTTATCAGTGCTGCAGGAGCAAGTGGTCTCTGGGCTGACCAGGCAAGGATTCCATGACGTCAGAGATGACTTCAAGGGTGTGGCATAGCTCATCCATTTTTCATGAATGTTCAATAAAATGGGCATAACTTAACAAGCATGAAATGGAATGACATAGATCTACAAATCCATCTACAAACTCGATATTGAAATGCCCAAATCTTATCATTATCCCCTCTTGCTGATGACAGAATAACAGCGAACAGCGTCATGAGAGATTCCTCGGGCAGTCTCTGCAAGGCGCCCAAATTGCAAATCTGCCCGAGAAGTTCCTCAGAAGCATTCAGAGGTCTCATCCGAGTGGTTAAAAAAGCAATCAGCTCGTTGGTTATGTTGGTTGGATTGTACCGGTGTATTCTTTGTGTATTCTTTGTGTATTCTTTGTGTATTCTTTGTGTATTCTTTGTGTATTCTTTGTGTATTCTTTGTGTATTCTTTGTGTATTCTTCGTATGTTGTACTCATTGTATCACTATCAATTGTTTCATGGCAAAGGAATCTCGATTTAATGTTGATCCCACACAGCATCGAATGTTCTTGGACCACAAGATGGTTCTGGGAGTTCCCCTAACTCCATCTCTTTGATTCAGAGATTTTAAAATGGATCCCCATTTAATGATGGCAAAACAAGATTCAAATGGGCGCCCAGTTCAGATGATTTGGGGGGTACCCCCATTTTTTTCGAAACCTCCATATTTGAATCATATTTATCATATTTACCGTATTCATATATAGTGATTCTGTTTTTTTTAATATCCCTTCTGGCACAACCTGGGAGGCATGAACCCATCAACAAGTGTCATGATGACCTGGTCCGAGCTTCGACAATGGCGATCAGTGAATCTGGCTGCTGGTCATCAAGCACTGCATGTAGCCTTAGAAATCGGTTAGACATCGGTCTTGAGTCTTTTTTGGATGTTTTGGGCACATCAAATCAGGGAATTTGGAGTTTTTGGTCTTTGCATTTTGCCAACTCTCGAAACATGGCCCTGCTCTGGAACTTGGCGTTGTGTGTGGGCACTTGGCAACTCTCAAAGGGAATGCATTTGTACCCCTTGGTGATCTTTGGTCAGTAAAACTTTGATCTGCTGGTGAGCACTTGGTCTACTTGAAGCAATCATGAAAGATCATGAAAGTGGACATCCACCATGTTCATCAAGAAAATAATAAATAATGAAAATAATAACAATAATAATAAATACTAATAAATGATAATAAATATAAATAAGTTAATAAATAAATAAATAAT